GAGAGAGAGAGAGAGAGAGAGAGAGAGAGAGAGAGGAGCGATTTGGGGAGATGAATCCATTCGACACGAGACTGTGGTCTGTGGATTATGGAAAGTCAACATCGCCAGGCGTGTTCTTACAACTATAATAAAATCAGCGATAATATCGAACTGCTCTGGGTTCATTGATTTATGACAACCTAAGCGAACCTCGACATATTCGCACAGCCGCACACGCGAGTCCTCTGGGTTCATTGGTTTATGACAACCTAAGCGAAACTCGACATATTCGCACAGACGCACACGCGAGTCCAGATTTAAAAGGCTACAATAATTTATACCCAAGGCTCGAGTATTTAGACATAGAATAGTACTGGTGAGTGGTTAATGGTGAGTAAGTGGCTCATCCTTTTGGTTGCCCATAGAAAAAGCCACCTAACTTACTTACAATTTTGAGGAGAAATGTAATTCAGAGTAGACTATAGCTTGGCTAATGTATGAGAAAAGAGAGTGAGACTTCTCACTGTCCCCCGTCTCCACAGTCCACACTGCACACACAAGAGAGAAGAGAAGGTGTGACAATGAGATGAAGTTATTTACAACTCAGTGAACTCACTTGTTATTTTTTAATTACGAGTGGCAGTCTGGCGGACGTGCAAGTAGAGACAATGGGTATTGGCGGTTCGGATGTGCTACATATGGTGCAATCGCTTTAAGAGGATACAGGAAAAAAAAATGGAACTTAATTTTCTGTGAAAGAATTTTTTTATCCAAAATCGGCTTTCGTCACAGGATTTAGAATTGTGTGTAGAAGCCAAACTTCGGCCATTTATTTTTTTTTTGGGACCGGCCAATATCGTGGCCTCAGCGGCCATTCTGGACCTCAGCGGATTTTAACCCAATGTATGGTGCAGTACCTAAATAGTAGAGGGGCCTAGTGAGAGAGAGAGTGTGTGTAGTCCCAAAACATATATCAAACAATATTATATATTTTTTAACTAAATACATAGTCAGAGTGTCAGACTCCGCAACTCCGCACCTAATATTTAAAAGTGTAAACATAAATACATAAAACAATAATAAACAAACAAAAGGGGGGGCCTAAGTAATAAACAAAACACATCGTTGTTTTTTTTTTGAAAGTATACCTGGACTTATCATATTACAGTATAGTGATGAGTTTACTGTATTTATACGGCATAGTCGCAAGTCTGGTCACTCTGGTCAGTCTGGCGGTGGTTGCGTGATGCATCACTCCACTCTTGCTGTTGCATGGCTCTCCGAAATTAGTTGATCTGGGACTGGGAGACTGGGAGTCTCTGTCACTCACTCTCAATCTCTGGGACAGAATATTATTACTAGACTGTCACCGGGCCCTGGGCCTGGGCCCTGGGGCCAGCCGCCCAGTCAGTACCTCAGTACAACAACAAGCGCACGAAGATGGCTCATCAACACAGGCCTCAACTCAGGCCAACACTGCAACAGGCAGTCAGCAGTGGCCAGTGGAGGGAGAAATCAGAAAACACTCTCGCGTGAGTCTCGCCGTTAAAATATATATATAGAGAGGGGGGGGGTCATGATGACAATTAAAATAAATAATTGTGGTATTTTTACTATGTATGGCATGTTTATATGTCCAAAGTGGTTTATGTATAGTAGCTGGAGAGAACAGGGTTACTTGAGCGGAAGCCGAAAATCATCAAATCAAGTTTCTCGCTGCTGTGACTAAATTTAGCGGCAATTAGCGCAGACCCAATCCAGACGCAGAGAGGGCCATGAAAATATTTATGAATTTATCACTCGTTCACAGTCACGATTTCATATATTTTTATTATTTTTCCAAAACAAAAATGAAAAGAATTACCTTCCGTCACTGTGAGTTCCGATGATCCTGACTTCTGTCCCTATTTTTACATAGCCTCCTAAAAAAAACCCCCTATTTATTAGAGGACTAAAAATACATCTGATCATAGCCAACTGATAAAACGATGTATTTATATTACTTATTTAGAAATAAATATGAACTTTACTGGACTAAGGAGCCAAATCGTCGGGACTCGGGAGTGAATGTATTGTCGAATATGTATTTATGTACGACTGTACTTAGGACGCAAAAAAAAATTTGAGCATTAAACACCAAATCGAATCAAACACTCTACACACTATTTACATTTCAGCTATCAGCTATAAGCACTATTTACGAGTTAGCTATTTATAGCTAGTTGCTGATTGATAAAGACTTACTACACCATGGGCGACAGACGACCGTCAACGCACCCACCCATAACTACGGAGTTCCTCAAAGCTCTCCCCAAAACCGACCTACACCTTCACTTGGACGGATCAGTGCGCTTGACAACACTGATTGAATTAGCCGAGCAGGAAGGCATTGAGCTGCCAGCCAATACGGTAGAAGGATTGAAAGAGAAAGTATTTAAAGAACATTATGAGGTATGTAACAAGGCAGCCAGACCAATATATATATATATATATATATATATATATGTCTGTGTGCCTGTGTGTCTCTATGTGTGTCTCTGTGTGTGTGTCTGTATGTTGTGTATGTGTATGTGTTTATTTGTACGTGTATGTGTATGTATACGTGTATGCATGTATGAATGTAGGCATTTATATATATATACATATATATATGTATATATATATATATATGTGTGTGTGTGTGTGTGTTAGTATATATATTATATATATATATATATACTACTATATATATATATATATTTCGTATATATATATATATATAGTATATTGGTATCTATATATATCTATATCTATATATATATATATATAGCCCATCTTCATCCTGTGACGCACAGGAACCGAACATAATCACTCATTTATCAGTAGGCCCTCGTTAATTGTCCACAGCCCCATTTATGGTACTATCTGTATCATTTCGCTTGACATGTGTACCAACTAGTCTCGCCTTGTCCCTCCGCTTACGCTTGGCAGATACATCGAGGTTCGGTTTGCACCTCAGTTGCACTTTAACGACAAAATGGACATCCCTCAGATTGTGCACGCCGTCAACAACGGTATGTTTGCTGCTGTTCCTTTGGTATGTTTGCTGCTGTTGCTTTGATATGTTTGATGCTGTTGCTTTGGTATGTTTGATGCTGTTCCTTTGGTATGTGTATGTTTGTTGCTGTTGCTTTGGTATGTTTGATGCTGTTGCTTTGGTATGTTTGATGCTGTTGCTTTGGTATGTGTGATGCTGTTGCTTTGGTATGTTTGATGCTGTTGCTTTGGTATGTTTGATGCTGTTGCTTTGGTGTGTTTGATGCTGTTGCTTTGGTATGTTTGCTGCTGTTGCTTTGGTATGTTTGATGCTGTTGCTTTGGTATGTTTGATGCTGTTGCTTTGGTATGTTTGCTGCTGTTGCTTTGGTATGTTTGATGCTGTCGCTTTGGTATGTTTGATGCTGTTGCTTTGGTATGTTTGATGCTGTTGCTTTGGTATGTTTGATGCTGTTGCTTTGGTCTCGTTATCGCGTTCTCTCATATTACACATTGAAGACAACTAGATCACTGCGAAGGTGTGGTAAAAGGATGACCGCACCACCAGCCCTCCCACCACCGGTCAATAACCAATATCTACCGACACCGAAAGTTGGATGTGGCTAATTTATTTCAGTCTTATCTACAGGTCAATAGCGTAATAGTCAGCCTTAACCTACACCGAAAGTTGGATGTGGTTTATTTATTTCAGTCTTATCTACAGGTCAAGAGCGTAATAGTCAGCCTTAACCTACACCGAAAGTTGGATGTGGTTTATTTATTTCAGTCTTATCTACAGGTCAATAGCTTAATAGTCAGCCTTAACCTACACCGAACGTCTGAAGTAGTTTATATATTTCAGTCTTATCTACAGATCAATAGCTCATTAGTCAGCCTCAACCTACACCGAACCTCTGAAGCAGTCTATATATCTCAGTCTTATCTCCAGGTTAATAGTCAACCTTTACCTACACCAAAAGTTTGATGTAGTTTATATATCTCCGCCTTATCTACAGGTTAATAGTCAACCTTTACCTACACCGAAAGTTTGATGTAGTTTATATATCTCCGTCGTATCTACAGGTTAATAGTCAACCTTTACCTACTCCGAAATTTTGATGTAGTTTATATATCTCCGTCTTATCTACAGGTTTGAAGCGTGCCAAGGACGAGTTCAATGATTGCGATGGTGTGAAGGAGGGGTCTGAGCCTGAGTTCAACTACGGCATTATCTGCACAGCCATGCGCATGTTTGCGCCCGTGTTCTCGGAATACTATCGCGACTTGTCAAGGTGTGGTTGGGATTTTTTTTTTTCTGGATGTATGTATGTTGTTATGAGTTTACTTAAAACGTTCTTATACATACATGGGCACATGTGCATAAATATACATCGGACTCTATATATATATATATATATATCTGTGTCTGTGTCTGTGTTTCCCAAAAAAAGGCACTGCTGCTATGATGGGGTCTTACACATCAACGCGGATGGAACCCCATGAGTTAATGATTTTAATAAGCCAGTAAATTTCGGAGTAATTGTTGGTGCTCAGTACACCCTTGCCCTGAGCGCCTACAATTACTTCGAAATTGACTGGCCTACTATTAAAATCATTAACTCTTGGATTTCCATCCGCGTTGATGTGTATTAGAAACAGTGACTTTCTTGGAAACACATATATATTATTACGTTTTATGTTACATTTATATATATTGTTATATATCGTTATATACTGTTACATATTGTTATATATATGTATATATTGTTATATATATATATATTGTTATATATATATATATTTATATATATAAATTGATATTGTTATTGTTATTGTTATATATGTATGTATGTATGTATGTATGTATGTATTTACTATGTCTCGCGCATATCTATTCAGGCGATCGTAGCCTGCTGTGTGTGCCTTCAGTAATACGTTTTATTGAATTCATATATATATATATATATATATTTAAAAAGGCTACACGTGTATCGTCAAACCCCACATATATATATTTATGCACACAAATTAATACCATATTCAGTGCTAACAAATCTATAGAGTTGTGCTTTCAACCTAGTAGATCAGGCCATAATTGCATTACAACTGTACGGGAAAGTGCACGCTGTTACACGTGCATATCCCTACCTCCAGGTACATTCAGCTTACCCTTCACCATCTCTTCGCTCACTCACTTACCCACACACCCACTCACTCATTCACAGGTGCCATCAGTTTGCGCCTGATAAAACTCTGCAGAGCTTAGCGTCAATTGAGTTGGCTCGTGCTGCTGTGCACTTGCGCGATATTGACGGTTTGCCCATCGTCGGTTTCGACTTGGCTGGATCGGAGAATGGTTTCCCACCGAAGATACACAACGAAGCCTTCGAGTATGTGCTATATGTATGTATGTATGTATGTATGTGTTTATATATGTATATGTATATATATATTTATTTATGTATATATATATTTGTTTATGTATGTATATATATATATATGTGTGTGTGTATATAATATAATATATATGGAAGGGTATATTTTTCCACTTCGTAACTTGAGCGGCACACTTGTTGTGAAGCTTTCATAACATAGAAGTACTAGTAGAATAGAACCCAGATATTTTAATGTCAAAGTACTACAGCGTACCGCACAAACCTCAGGTCTCCTATGTATAATTCGAGGAACTTCAATCAACTTAGAAACCTGTCTTGTCTCTACCTACTCATTTTATCTCTACCTACGTTGTCGCTACCCCCTCATTTATCTCTACCTACATCTAGCTATGTGACCAAGAACTTCATGAATCGTACCGTGCATGCTGGCGAGGCATTTGGTCCAGAAAGTATCGTCCAGGCTATTGTAGGGTGCAGCGCTCAGCGGTATGTATCTGCACGAGACATGAATTCACACACCATGCATATATACCTATATTGTTATGAATTGTTATGAATATTATTATTATTATGCCACACCATGCATATGTGTCTATATTGTTATGAATTGTTGTTATAAATATTTTTTTATTATGCCACACCATGCATATATATCTATATTGTTATGAATTATTGTTATGATTATTATTATTATTATTACACACCATGCATGTATACCTATTATTATGAATTATTGTTGTGATTGTTATGATTATTATGCCACACCATACATATATACCTATATTATCATGAATTATTGTTTTGATTATTATGAATTTTTGTTGTGATTATTATAATTATTATAACACACCATGAACATATTCCTATTTTGTTATGAACTAGATACACCATGCACATATACCTATATTGTTTTGAACAAGAAATGTCCTGAATAAGCTACCATATACCCTTTCTCGCCAATGTGTGTGCTGCACTGTCCCATTCACTCGCTTCGTTCCTTTTGTACCGTATCTGCCTTACTGAGACCTTCCTTAATGACCCCGTTGCTATGAGCTGTCCTATATATTCAGAATTGGACATGGACACTGTCTCATACACCCGCTTAGTCCCTTTCATACCGTGTTTGCCTTACTGACCCCGTTGCTATGGGCTGTCCTATATATTCAGAATTGGACATGGATACCGTCTCATTCGCCCGCGTCGTGCACTTTGTACCGTGTTTGCCTTACTGGCCCCGTTGCTATGTTACTGACCCCGTTGCTATGGGTTGTCCTATGTATTCAGAATTGGACATGGCTACCATCTGTTCTCAACGGAGAACGTCACGAACAAGGACATCAAAGACGCCGACAAGTTCGTCCATGATTTGGTTCAGGTACATATGCGCGCGCGCAGAAACCCTCTGCAGATGGTTACCAAAACGAGTAGTCTTAGCGTATAACTGACTATTGTGATATATTGAAGCGTGTGTTCCATGATGAAGTGTATAAAAATATGGATATATCTGACTATATATATATATATATGTGTGTGTGTGTGTGTATATATATATATACGTATGTGTGTGTATATATGTATGTATGTATATATATGGTATATATATATATATATATATATATTATATATATAGTGTGTGTGTGTGTGTA